TCATTTGGCGGAGATAGGGATCAGATCACTATATTTGGTGAGAGCGCCGGCAGTATCTCTGTGTCCGCACACATACTCTCCCCGCTATCCAAAGGCCTATTCAAGAGGGCTATTATGGAGAGCGGCGCCCATTTGTATAACAAGGACAGGGATGTGGTCAACACAACTGAAGCCTTATTAGACGCCAAACAAATTGCGAAACAACTGAAATGCAATGAAACCGAGCATTGGATACAGTGTTTACGCGCTGTTAAGGCCGAGGATATACTCAAACAATCACAGTCTCTGAGGTTTGCCGGCTATCCAGTGGTGGGCACAACCTTTTTACCCATACCTACTCATATGGCACTAAAAAATAAACAATTGTACACGGGTAAATTGCAAAATAAATAACAAATTATGTTGGTTAAATGAATTTACTGTAACTAATATAGCATTTTTATTACAGATATAGACTTATTAACCGGTATTACCGCTAACGAGGGCTCATCGCTAACGGCAATTGTGTTGAAAGTGTATGACATTAAAAGTGTCGATGAATTTCAAGCCTATGTTAAGCAATCGGACTATAAATATCACGGCTTAGACGTGCAAAAAGTGACCGATTATTACCTTCAGAGTGTAGACACCAGTAATCCGTTGGCTATAAAACAGGCATTTTATAAATTTTTTGGTGATTTGATAATGAATTGTCCGACATATTTGTTTGCCAAACATTTTGCGCTAATAACCCAACAAAACAACCATAATGTTTATTTTTATCAATGGGATTATCAGAGCGATGGGTTTATGTCCAGGTATATGTATTGCGATCGGGCGACCATGGGCATTTGTCACGGCGCTGATTTACCATTTATTATGGGTATGACATATCAAAGTCCTACCCTTTTTAATGATACAGACCGTGTATTTAGTGATAAAATAATGCGGTTATGGACTAATTTTGCTAAAACAGGGTAAATATAACACTATTTATACAAGTCATTGGATATAATAATGAAGTATTTTGCGTTCATTTGATAGCAAACCGGATACTGATTGGCCACTAATGTTAACCCAAAGCAATGAGGTTAAAGTGCAAGTTTTAGATTCAACTAATAAGACCCAGATATTGGATAATCCCTTTAATACCACGTGCGATCAATTCTGGAAAGATTATTATTATTGATTAAATCAATTTATTTCGTTGAAACGTTAAAATTGTGTTTAATTAAATAATTTAATTGCATTTAGTTAATAATTATTGCAAATATAAATGTTTTAATAAAATTAAATAATGAATATATTTATGATTAACTTTATTTATTGAAATAATTATGAAATTTTATTATTAAATATACAATTTAATTTTTAATGAATTCTATTATCATGAGCTAATAACTCCCGTTTTGTGATTGTTATTTACATGCCGTCTTAATTCCTCTTTCGTAACAAAGCTTTGAATACAGTTATTATGAATACATTTATGGCTTTTGATATTCAGATGTCTTTTCATATGTTTTTCTACTCCAGATTTTGTGCGAAAGGTTTTGTTACAATCATTGAAGTGACAAACAAATGGTTTTTCTCCCGAATGAATGCGTTTGTGTTGAATTAGAATCGATTTTTGATGGAAACTTTTGTTACAATTTTCTTCATTACATTTGAATTTCCTTTCATTTAAATGAACACAACTTTTGTGTCGAAATAGCTTTGATTTTTGTTTAAAACTTTTGTGGCATTCATTGAAATCGCAAATAAATTTCACATTCAAGTGATCTCTATTTTTATGGCTAATTAAATCTGATATTTGTTGATAACTTTTATTGCAATTATTAAAATCACATTTAAAAGGTTTTATATTTGAATGACAGAATTGATGTCGAGTTAAATGATGTTTATGTATTGTCTTGAATTGACATTTAGGCCAAAAACAGTGGAAATAATCATCAGATTTAGTAATGATATGACAATTGTTTTACCATTTTAAATAATTTGTATTTCTGCATTTAATTAACTAAATAATTATAACTTTACAAATTAAATGTGTTAATTAAGTGTCATAATTTATTTATTATTAATAATTACAATAATTATTAC